TGATTAAATAGAAATTGTGTTCATTTTTAGGACTTGTTCACACTACATCTACATTGACTTGCATTCATCTGCACAGACCTTGCCTTTGTGCACGAGCTTCCTGTAATGAAGACCAGTCACTGCTGCTCTCTCTCCTCATGCAGGGTGACTGGTCTTGTATCCGCCCGCCCCCCCTGTAGTTTTCTACAGTCAGCCTGTAGTGTGTGGTCCCTCCCACAGCTCTGCTCTCTGTACAGACTTTGTGTAGCACACTGTTGATGTCACTTCTACTTTTACAAGGTAATATCTGGGTTTGAAAGTGCATCCAAGCCCTGTTATACCTGAATACCGTTCTGATGGGCAAGGCTCCAACATTTCCTCGTACCCGCGAAGCTTGCCTGCTCCCTCCCGTGCATTCCCATTGGTCCATTAATATGATGGGTTACCCCACTGGCCAAAAGTAATGTGCAGTATGCAGGAAGGGGCAGGCAAGCTTCGACCCTACCAAAACTACCAGAGCTTTCCTAGCCAGCGTTGAACATCAATTGGGAGGTTGAAGGCTGCTGTAGGTATGTCTAGGTTATAATAACTGAGCATTAGCTTTGGAAATCTGTCAGCAGTTCGCCAATGCACTGACATTTTTTTATTACAGGCTATCACAATAACTCTTCCAATGTTTATAATCTTTAAAAATGTTGTAAAGTATATTCTAAAACACACTTTACAACACTGACATTTAACTGTTTGGTAAGGGACAATTTTATATCTGGTGTACTTGCTAAGGCTAGCCATACATTGTGGCCAATTCACAGGTACAGGATGAGATTCCAACATTGGGCGTTGCCTTAACCAATGTCAATCAAGTAATAGACTTCTGTGGAAGGAGGCAGGACGAACAGTAAAAGCAGCCAATCAGCAATAGGTGCTGGCTTTCAGAATACAATAGCCGCAGTGAGACATTCTTTCCTCTGTTTTGCTTCACATGGATGGAAGAATCTGTCATATTTTTTTCTACTAGTGTATGGCCAGATTACGGGTCCAGTTGACTTTGTGTGGGAGTGACGTATCCATGGTATGGCACATATGGTACATGCCCTGGGTGCCACTTGAAGGGGG